TTCAGTTTGTTCACATTTCATTTTATCTTCCTATCTGTATTGTGTGTTCAGAGATTGGGAAGTAAATCTGCCTTTATATGGCAATGAGAAACTTTGTAAAGCTATACTAATGAGGAAGAAAATGAACATTAATTAAACCTGCGGTTACAGGATGGGCTGAGGCTCTGGAGTCCTGAAGCAGCAGCTAGATAGGTTACTTCATTACAGCCCAGAACAGGGAGCTGTGATGTGAATGGGAATGAGGTGACAATTAAGTTGCTCACCAAGTGCAGAGCCAGAGAGACATTTAATTATCCACAGGAGCTAACACTCTAAAACCTGGAGTTTTCTGTAGATCTAAATATGCCTGGCAGTTTTTCTGTCAAATTAGACTTCTAAAGAGTGTCTTTAGAAATGCAAGAGGGGTTGGGGATGTTGAGGAGACGGGAGCAGAAATGTGCTTTTCAGCTGAGCTCTGCGTTGTGGTGGCAAAGAGCTGGCAAGTCTCTTGGGCTGGGGAGAACTCCGTCGTGTTGGACGGGATGAGTGTAATTAACTTGGCCAGAAAGTCCACGTGGCTGCTGCTGTTGCTGGTATATGTGGATGCATTGGTCCTTGAAAGCCTTGCAAGGAGGTCTGCAGGGATGCACAGGAGCCCTGTTATCCCCAAAAGAGATTAGTGGAACTCTAAGCCCCAGCCCTGTGCGTTGCAATGGTCTCATTTGTGGCTTATCAATGTAATTCATATCATAATTAGACAGGACAGTCACTCGTTGCCTTCCTTTGTGAATTTTTTCCTGTGTGGCTTTCACTTCTAAATAACCACCTTGCTAACCTTAGCAGAGGTTTTGATTCTCTGAATTGCCATTTCCTTTTGATTAAGTGTTTTCTGCTCTAGTCTTTAATGCATATTAATGAGTGCCAAGCAGTGCTTGACTTGAGTAATTTGCAGCTGGGATCTAAAAGCCCTTGGAAGAAAGGCCTGGGGATGTCCTGCTTTGGGAAATAATGGGTTATTACAGGCTCCTTGCTACAGTTTGGTGCATTCCAAAAGCAAACACTTTTTCGATTGATTTATATTTACATTAGTCACAGGACAGAGTCACTGCTGCCATATTTAGCAACAGTCCCATATTCAGTTTAGTTTCGGGGTAAAAGTCCCAGAAGAGGAAGGAAAGAGGTAACAGTTAGCATTTTTTCCAGGACTGGAATTCCTTTCCATGTTGATGCACAGTCCCATACCTAGTTCTGAACTGCACAGCATGTGTGTAGCTGCAGGTTGGTAGTGCAGGGGAAGCACCAGTGATCTGTAAGTCCTCGAGGATACAGCATTCCCACAGGGGTGGTGAGCAGCATGGGATAGAAAAACACTGCTGCTGGCAGGTGCTTTTAAGCTCTTAGTTTGTGGAAGCAACTCCTGTGACTGTTCAGAACTTTTTGGAAAACTGGTAACTGAAAGGCTTAATTGTGCTTTCACATCTACTGGAGTAAATGTCCAGATGATGAAGATGATCTAGGAATTTTCTGAAGCCCTTCTAGTTGGAAGGAAGGCACAGGTGTGCTCAGTCAATATGGCATTTCTGTTTTAGTCATCCAGAGATGTTCACTGGGAAATTGCAGCAGCTTTAATGTCATCATAAATTTGGTGGGTGTCTGACAGTTGTCTTGGCATGACAGGCTGGCACAAGGGTGATGGCATCTGTGGGTAAGAACAGGATTGATGAAGGGTGAAGGTGAAGGATGTGAGCAAACTCCTGCTGCCTTTGTGTTCCTTCCTTGGCTATGTGCAACACTTGAGTTGATGACTAAAAGCAATCTCCCTCTTTTGGTGCCTTCTTGAGGTTGTTCTGAGTAGTATCAGAAACAAATACATTAGGCAATTCATCTTGAGCTTTTCATGTTCAAAGCACTTGGCAAAAAATAACAAAATAACCCTTGTAATTATCCGGCAAGTCTGTTGTTATGCTGGTTAAGAGGTGGAGAAATGGAAGTAAAGAGGTTAAATGTCTTGCTCAAAGCAGCAAGGAAATGTGTGGTGGAGACTTTCAGGAGCCCCACGTATTTCTTAATGAATCATTTATAACTGTGGTTATATTATTAGGCAGATGGCTTGAACTGTGGATTGCTGTAGGAACTCTGCCTTGTTGTATAAATGAATTTTCTTCTTAGAGTTTGAAACAGTCATTTTTTCTCGTTTTATTTCATGACAATGTGTTGGCTAAATCAAATGCTGTGTAGGACATGCGACATATGAAAATATATCATTCTTTTACAGTTCAAACACACATTCTTGCCTAACAATTCCAGCCAAAAATAATTGATGTGTTTCTCAGGACTAAAGGAATAGAGAAATTCCAGTGTAGTCCAAGATTAAAATGAGAAAATAAATATTCAGCCACGTGGGAGTCAGACTTCAATGGTCCTTGTGGGTTCTTTCCAGCTCAGGAGACTCTATGATTTTGTTTCAAGGTTAAATTCCTTCCTTTCTACTCTCCAACAGAATCAAGGGGTGTGTGGCCATGGGATGCACAGCATGGTGTAAGTCCATCTGAGAAGCAGAGTGTGAAATGAGAGCACCTGATAGAGGAACTGCTATGAGGCATATTCAGTACCACCTGAATCCCCTGCACACAAAAGAGACAGTACCAGGCACAGTGATCTGCAGGAAACACTGGTGTTTAACCACTGGTTTTATGTCTTGGGGACCAGCATTCAAGTATCTCTTTTGTTTAGTCTTACAGTCTGTCCTAGGGTGTCACTTTTGTCTTCTCAAGGGGGAGAATTCAGTCTGACCAGATATTTTCATTTCCAAAAGGCCAGCATGCCCTGAAAGCTAAAGTTCACCTTTAACAGTTGTTCTGTCTGATCAGTTCAACTACTGATTGTAGATGTTGCTTATCTGTTAATTTTCTTAGAAGGTCTGAATTCCTCCAAACTCCCATCAGTACACCCTGCTGCGTACAATGTACAGCAGCATTTACCTACACTATGGTCTGCATTCTAAACTAATGTCTGGCATTAGCTGCTTAGTTAATATTAGGTTTAATTAATCCAGAAATACATAGGAACATGTGCATGACCAGGTAGCTTACTTGGAAAAAGCTCTCAGTGTGTTTCTCCTGGGTGTATGTCGGGCATGGGCATCATACCCTGTGCAGTTGAGCTTGCAAATGCTAGTTCCTTCTTGATCTTTAGTTGTGCATTTCTCGTGAAAACACTTTAAAATTTATGGATATAATATTTAATATCCAGAAGAAATGTGTGTGGACACAATTAGAGTATACATTAAAAGGAGAATGACATCGACTCTGAATTTTTTATGTATTCCACTTTACAGTGAAAGATCAGTTGATGTCTCTCTGGGTTCAGCACTTATTTTCGTGGTTGTCTTGGCTTCCTTGAGCTGCTGAGCCTGTCTCACCTTTTCTGTGACTGATGTAGAATCTAAATTAGATAAGCAGAAACAGGACATGATTTCAAATTCAGTTTCCTTTATACAGGCAGGATGGCATCAGTTTAAATTGCTTCGATATAATTTTGCTTCTTTAATCCTTCCTCTTCAATCTGGTTTAGTATACATTATCCATATGAATTCTGGGACTGGAAATCTTGCCTAATGTAAGTTAAGACATGACAAATGAACCTGACATTTTTCCAAGGAGGGAACCAACGAACGTACTGTATTTATAGCAGTAGGAATGGAGTTTGCTGCTTGTAGAAGAAAAATGTGTTGTATGAGAACTTTAGTGCTGGGATATGATAAGAGTGTTTAGATGATAGTTGTTTCAAGTGAGAATTCTGGGTTCAAAGGAGCCAGACTGGTTGTCCTGAAAGCTTGAGGTAGGGCACAGAACAGAGGATTTAGGCTCCCAGAAGCTCAGATAGCAATATGAAGCATCACAGTGTCAAGGTGTTCTCCCCTGTCCAATTTGAAACCCCAGTGGCTCCAGGATCATCAGTGGGCAGAGTAGGAAAGAGCATGATGAAGGAGCTTCTGAAGGTTGGATCTGGAGCTTCTCTCAACAGTATTCTGAACAATTTATTTCACATTAATAGTAAGACTTTCTGTCTACAAGCTAAGAGTTCATTGGTTTAAGTTCTCAAACACAGATGTGCAAACATATGGAGAAAAATTGATTCAAGCCAACCATCTCTGCCAGCAGCTCCTGGCTGCTGTGTCCTTCTGCAGTAGGGCAGGACTGCAAGAGGGGATATAAGCCCAGGGGATCCAGGTGCCCAAGTTGTTTAACCCGCATAAAGATGATGAAAAGTTGTGCTTTTTTAAAGTTTTCAGTCTTTACGAGGATTTCCCCTGAACACAGCAAGAATTGCTTGGATGATGTTTCAGGTGCTCTGTAGAAGTGCAAATTTCTTTTCCCATACTGGTATATCTAGTCAAGTCTGAAAAAGTTGTCATTTTTTAGCAATGCACTATTGACACTTTTTAAAAACTAATTGTGGCCAATTCTTGAAAGATCATTTTGTTGGCTAAACCCTGTTTGTCAGGGCAGAAATAATCACAAAGCTTAGCTGCCTGCATGTAAGATGTAGTATTTTTCCATCCTGCTTCTGAACAGAAAGGCTGACTTTGCATTTTTTGACTGTTGAACTGCACATCAGGACCAGCTTATAGCACTGAACTGATCCTTTATTTAGGAAGAAATAGTAAACACTGGAGCAGTCTGGGCCTGATGGATAGCTAAGGTCATAATAACTTGCATTGTAGCTGTTTTTTAATGGAGCTAGTATTTCCTAGACAGATTCTTAGACCTATACTTGGCTCATGTGGCTGAAGGAGAAGTCCTTTCGGTTCAGGGTTGTACCTTTAGTCCTTTCTTGTCAAGTTGGGGAAATGATGCTTCATTTTGCTCTAATAAAGAATTCACCTGGTTTCCTCTCTGCATCCTAATTGCTCTCTGGGGAGCAGTAAAGTGTGCTTAAGCATATTGTAACTGTTTACTCCCCACGTCTGCTGTATGTGCAGTAATGCAAAGTGTTCCATCTCTGCCCTGTCGCTGCAGGCTGGCATGATTCGCACAGACAAGGACGAGTTCTTCATCGAACCTCTGGAGAAAGGGGCCCAGGAGGAGGAAGAGGGAAGAGGCAGAACACACGTGGTCTATCGTAGAGCAGCTGCCAAAAAGCAGCTTCCTATGGAGAACATGGATACCCTGTATAAAGGTAAGGCAGGCTGATGTATAAAGTGTAGGTGAAGGCTTTTAGCCAATGTGATCTGCTGTGTCTGCCTTTTGAAAAGAGAAATGTGTTTTTCTCCCTCTATGGACAAAAAAGAGGTTGAACACTTAACCTGGGGTAAGCAAACATTGCAGCAGTCAGAACTATCTTCAGGATGGTGGAATTGTCTTTGCTTTAAAGAGTTTCCTTGGCTCCAGAGATAGCCAGCAGAAAGTTATGTGTCCCACTGAGTCCCTGGGTCGGAGCAGAAGAAGGGGATGGTGGATGATGCAGCAGTGCAGAGGTACCTGTGCCTGCTGGGGTCAGATGGCAGTGCTGGATTTGCAAAGGTTCTGTTGGAAGGCTGCAAAAGGGCACCAAGGCTGATGTGGTGCATAGGCTTCTCATTGACAGTGTCTTCACTGGGCTGGATTAGCCCCAACAGGAAAGTAATGGTATCTCCAGTGTCAACACAAAGTTTCTTGATTTATTTATGTGTTGCCAAGTGTGGAATTTGACTTACTAAATATGTGATAGACAGTGATGAAATAACAGGAATTAAACATAAGTACCCATTCTATGTAATGTTTTCTGTTTCTGTGATAACTGCTTGGATATTGCACCTTTTTTTTCTGAATAAATAAGGGATGCAAATCTGGTAAGTAGATGTTTTGACAGCTGATGTTAACACTGAAATTAACTGGGTCATTTGAGTGGAAACAACAAAATAGCTACATTTTTGTTCCAAATGTGTGTACCACCAAACTGCAGAGTTATTTGTCACTCATACCCTAGTATTATCTTATTTCAGAATAATGGGTTTTCAAGTATAGGAAGGGAGGAGCAGATAGCCACAGAGGTGAGGTACTGAAATTAGGGCCATGCAAACAGTATCAGTTTCTCACACTGTTCAGTTTGGAGCAAGGATTAAAAAGAAAGCAAGCAATAACATCCAACCAAGTTTTTTTTTTCCACTTTGGAACGACCCATGAATTTTCTGGATGACAATTTGCTGTGGTAGACTCTTCTGGTTGCCTTTGTACTCACTGTGGAGCAGTGCTGGGGGTTGGAGGAGTCTGAGTGTCACAAGCCCAGAAAGATTGGATGGTAGATATGATGGACATTGCTCTATTAGTAGATGTTTATAAAATTAATGCATGTTGGAAAATATGAGCCAGTCACTGTGTTTCCTCTGAAACAAAAGAGACTTGATTTTCTTCACACCTTATGGCAGTATTTTTGGTTTTGGATGGTAAATATTCCTCAGGAGTAGGAGTCTGGTACACAGAAAAGCATAAACTGTAGATCAGCTCCAGTTATTGGCATGCAGTACCTGCTAGTGGAGGCTCTGACAGCAGTGTCTGAAAACACCTCTCTGAAATGCAGCTCTGTGCTCTGTGGCTTCTCGTGGAGCTGATGGTGGAGCTGCCCACTGTGCCTGGCTGCAAAGCCACACGTGGTGTCTGATGCCACCAGACTTCCACGTCTGTCACCTCAACTGTGTCAGGGCTGGAGTTGGTAGGCTCTGGTACCAAGGCACAAAGGAATCACAGACATCAGCCAGCACTGTGGGACTGAAAAGCAAAAGTGAGGCTGAACTGGTGCAGACCAGGCTGAGGTGTAGCAGTGACCTTGTCTGGAACAGCAGGTGTTGGTGATAAGTAGGAATGGTTATGATAGTTCATATTTTTAAGTGAGGAAGAAAATGCCAAGAGTAGTAATCTCCCCTTCTACCCACTATCTTGATTGGTAAGCTTGATTAAAGATTAGTTTTTATTTTGGAAAACAACCTGCTCTACTCTAAATGGGATTTTTTTTCCATGAAATTGTCCTTGCCTTTAACAAAAAAAGTGAACAGCTGCTCAAAAATGGCCTGTTCCCCTCTACTTTTTATTAAACCTGGCTTCCCACCCTTGATTTGCTCTAGGCAACAGGCATGGAAAGGATGTGCTTTCAGAAATTGTCATTTTATTTTCCAGTTTGTCTTTGTCCAGAATGCATCAAGCTTTGGTGAATAAACATCAAAATATTTAGTGACTGGGTGTTGATAAGTGCACTGTGTGTGTTTGCATAGAGCTCTAAATTAATCGATGGGCTGATGTAGGAAATACTTGGTAGGGCACTTTCAGCATGCTGTATCTATTAAAAAAAAAAAGGTTAACCAAGAGCACTCCTCCTCTTCCAACATCCCTGGAGACAACTGCATTGTTGCCAAATCCCATAAATTTACATGTGATGAATTGTAACACTTGGACTATTTTTAAAGGTCCAGCCTCCAGGAATCTTATGAATATGTGATGATATTTTTTCCCTAGGTGAGCTTCTGGTTCTTTTAACTGTTGATAAAAAAAAAAAAAGTAGTTTCTGTCTGTGCAAATATTTTAAGGTAATGAGTAACACAAAGTTTATTCTATAATTTTTAGACAGCATGTTTCAAAATCCCATGATACGTTAATTTAATCCCATGATTTGGGAGGGGATTGTGAGTCATGATTTTTGAATGTTTCGGTTTGGATAGATAGATACAAATTCCTTATAAATATTCCTATCTCTGGCACTCTTTTCACAAGAAAATAGGACAAGCTGTTCTCTCCCCCATGAAACAGGAGGTGAAGGAATTGAAAGCTCCATGAACTTGGAGTTGGGTGGCTCAGTCGTCGTTTCAAGGACATGGGGCTGCAGTGGGCAGTGGTCATGCTGGACCTCATGTGGCACAAGGGCTGTGGGATTTGAATGCAGTTCTTTTGGAGGGTGATTTGTTGAAGAACTCAGAACCCCAAGTGCATCTCCCATGGGTGCCCAGGCAGGGAGCTCCCACACAGAGCTGCACAACAGTGGGAGAGAGGTCCCTGAAGCTATTGGGCAGCTGAACCTCTCCAAAAGACAACCAGAACTGATGGATGATCTATTGACTGATTGTGAGTGTGGATTCAAAAAAAAATAAAATTTGCATTTTCCGCAGCATTGGAGTAAATTCCAGATTGTGTCAACAGATATGGTGAGGAGGACCTGACAGCAAGGCTTTTCTAGCATTTTCCTTATGCTGTTATCTTTTATATTACAGTGAGAGAAACTGAGATTTTATTCCATCTGTTTAAAAAATATAAATAAACAAAACCCATGACCTCCTAAGCCCTGGAGAGATCCAGGTATGCATCTTGCTTTATGAAGGCTCTGCTGACGTGCTGAGTTGTGAGAAGTGGAATGTACTAGAAGAGTTCTGCTCTGATCTGCAGAGCTCTGGTCTGATTTCAGTCTCTACCAGGTTTGCTTCTGCATTTATGTAAAATCCTATCAGAATATTGGGAGAAGTAAATACTTGTTTTGGCAGCCTGAATCATTTGTTTTGACTGGTGTAGGATTATTTGGTGTTTGTGAGAATTGCAGAGTTAAGGGGTGTAATACTTCAATCTGGTCTTCCCCTCTCAACCAATGCTATTTGTTAATGTCCTGGAAAAATGTAAGCATCCTATTTTAGCCAAGTAATAATCTTCAGCAGAGTAGTTCTGTGAAAGTCTGTGCGAACTCACTACACATTAGGCTAATTGTTTCAGAAAAAGAAATATTTCATGTAGTGGCTGATATATTTCAGCTATGGTGAGACTAAACCCTATTTTTTCTGGCAATTGCTTGAATGCATATTATAATTTATCTTCCTCTAGATAAAAATAAAGTGGCATGTTGAAAATATTTTAATATTTCCAGTTGAATTCCTTCTTGCAGACATGAGAAATGTTGCTTGATAGCAGTAAAACTATGTGTGTAATAGTACTAGAGTTAAATAGACAAGCTAGAGTAGGTTGGTTATTTCTTGAGACTTCTGGGTTTTTACTGAAATGTTCTTGGGATGTTAAGTGAAGAGATGGTAAGTATTTAATTAATGGTTATGATGAGGTCTGGAAAGCCAGCTTGATTTTTGCCTCTAAAGACAATCTGATTATCAGGCTTGTAAACTTTAATATCACATTTCCCCAGCTAAATTACCGTGTCTGTTGTGGTGATCAGCCGAGAGGAAATGATTATACTAAAACTTCCTTAAGGTTTGCCTTTTCTCTCAAAAACCATTGTTTAAAGATGGTGCTCGGAGTTTTATTGTATTGCTTGATGGATGAGAAACAGAAACTCAGCTTTAGTGACAGTTTTATTTACTGTGCAGATGAAAGATGACCTTAGCCAAGAACAGTTTATTACTGAGGATGACAGTAAGGTAACTCTCCAAGTGTGCTTAAACCAGGAAGCTGTTGTTTCTGTGAGTGCTAATTAAATCCCTTGGAATGGCCAAACCCAATCTGACACGAGTCCCATCATGAACAGGCTCTGGGCTGACAGGATGGACAAACCCATAGCCTGTGCTGGAGACTTGTGACCCTTTCCTTGGGATTGCTGGTGCTCAGACCTGCAGAAGAGTAGTGGCTTGGTGCTGAATGATGTGATCATTTTATGTAACCCCATAATGTACTGCTTGGGGCAAAATCCATCATTTTCTTTGTTTGGAAACTCTCCTCCTGTTTCCTTTCTTTATGTTGAGGGGTGCTAACATCCCCTGGTCACAAGCACATAGCAGTTAGGTAAAAGAACAGAAACAAGTTGCTGCTTCTATTCAATACTGGTAGCAACTCCTTTCTGACAGACACCCAAACCTCATCAGAGCAGAGCTGGTCCTCATTCCTGTCACTGGGATCCTTCAGGAGTCCTGAGGGATTAGGGACCAATTCAG